AAAGTTTCGTCGGAACGAATTTTACGGAAAATCAATTAACAAACGGAGACGTAACAATATTATTAGTCTTACTCTGATCAAGAGACGATCATCTGGTTTGGAGTGTATTTATAGACGCCATTACTTGATATACTTTGTCGTCGTGATCGGTCCAAGCTGTTCTGTTATAAAAGATTGGCAGATCTCAACTCTTAATAAATCACTACTCTCAAGATTCTGAGAAGTGGTGTGGACACATCATGATTCGATCTAAATACAATGTAAGCTATGTATTTTTACTATTAGAAAGGTTAAAACCTAATAACATTGCTAAAATCAAAGAGAAGAAGCTTGGTGGTTTTTATTTATTTTTCTTGAAGAGTCTAGGCCTAACATGACAATCAACTCCTCCAGATTTTACCCGTAGTGCTTACTCCTTAGTGTTAATATTGAAAAATTGTTGATCTTAAGTCAGGCTGCTTTTACTTTGGTGATTACGTCATATATTGAAAACTGTGCAAGGCTTCGTCTCAAAACCATGTTTATTTACATACAGAGTTGGTCGTCACATCTCATATAACAAGTTTGTGATTTACAGTACTAAGCAAATACTACATTCGTTGAGGCTTTTAAAACTGAAATGTTAGCCCTACTTATAATAACTTTCATCTGTTTATACTTGACTGCCAATATCGTTTTTTTTCCAGGAAAAGCTGACATGACAGTTTTTAAATGAATAAAATGAGAGAGGAAGTTAAGAGAAGGTATCTTGAAACATTGGAATTAGCACATGTGTAACAGCTGATCTTCACTGACGCTGCCAAATCATTCAAGAATTCTTCGCTGCTAAATATCAGTTATTTCGTTCTATACAACATTAAAAAATGTTGCCCGAGCTTAAACTTTCTTAGATAAATTCTGATGTTTCTGTCCTAATCGACAATAACAGTCTAGCAGTCGTCAGTGTGGTGAGTATGACAGTTACCCTCGTGGATAACATTCTAGTGGTCGTCAGTGCGGTAAGTATGACAGTTACCCTCGTGGATAACATTCTAGCGGTCGTCAGTGTGGTAAGTATGACAGTTACACTCGTGGATAACATTCTATTGGTCGTCAGTGTGGTAATTATGACAGTTACCCACGTGGATAACATTCTAGTGATCGTCAGTGTGGTGAGTATGGCAGTTACCGTCGTGGATAACATTCTAGTGGTCGTCAGTGTGGTGAGTATGACAGTTACCCTCGTGGATAACATTCTAGTGGTCGTCAGTGTGGTAAATATGACAGTTACCCTCGTGGATAACATTCTAGTGGTCGTCGGTGTAGTAAATATGACAGTTACCCTCGTGGATAACATTCTAGTGGTCGTCGGTGTAGTAAATATGACAGTTACCCTCGTGGATAACATTCTAGTGGTCGTCGGTGTAGTAGATACCTAAGAATAACTTCAATCCTGCTGTTGTTTCTGATGGGTGTCAATCTAATGAATACGACAGAAGTTAACTCTGAAAGACGTCAGTCTGGCAGCTGAATCTTGTGTGTGTATCAGTATAGTAAATATGACAGCTATTCCTGGATGTAACCTTTCCACTAGGAACTACAGCTGTTCCTAGATGTAATCTGTTCAGTATTAACTACAGCTGTTCCTGGATGTAATCTGTCCAGTATGAACTACAGCTGTTCCTAGATGTAATCTGTTCAGTATTAACTACAGTTGTTCCTAGATGTAATCTGTCCAGTATGAACTACAGCTTTTCCTAGACGTAATCTGTTCAGTATGAACTACAGCTGTTCCTAGATGTAATCTGTCCAGTATGAACTACAGTTGTTCCTAGATGTAATCTGTCCAGTATGAACTACAGCTGTTCCTAGATGTAATCTGTCCAGTATGAACTACAGTTGTTCCTAGATGTAATCTGTCCAGTATGAACTACAGCTGTTCCTAGATGTAATATGTCCAGTATGAACTACAGCTGTTCCTAGATGTAATATGTCCAGTATGAACTATAGGTTTAGGACACTAAATATCATGTAAAGTTACAAATGTAGTCACAGAATAGAGTCATTGATAAGAAACATTTAGGGGAATGTACATAATTTTTCCTGGATGTCAAGTAATGGATTTGAGTGTTGGAGGTGCTTGCTTAAATTTACACTGAACCCCTGATATTAGCATTGTAAATCCGTAGACTTACTAGAACCGAATTCCTCGTTGAAACTTCACCGAATATACTTCTGTGATCTTAGTCATTTTACTGTGTGCATTTGACTGGCTACGTAATGAAATAATTGGAAAGATTTATATTAGTAGCAAGACATCCAAAAATTTGTGTGTAAAAATCAAACATTAACATCTTTATCCAAAGATATTTGATTATACAGGTCTCCTAAGATATCACCAGCAAGCTGTAGTATACCTGCTGAATTGGAAGTCAACGACACATCTTCAATGACACCTGTATTGATTTCCAATCTGATACATCATCCACAAAGGAGTATCTGTTCAATTACACATCAATGAAGAATTTTCCTAAAATATCTGTCAAAGTAGCGGGCAGAGATAAGAGTTGAAGTTGAGTCTCGCCTTGAAACACTGTCGTATCAATTATGTGGTCAGAGTCGGGTCTCTCCTTTGATGCAATATCACACTGTATATCTTCAGTAAAGTTTCTCTTGCTGGCTTACTTCATGCTTATTTCGAAACTATTATAAGTGATACAACTTGATTTTTTTTTGTAATTGGCTATTTGTCTACTGGACTTTCCTGCCATGAAACATTGTCTGAAAGGTCAACAGCTTCTTGGAATCTGCTTTCCCTATGTTCTGTGTGACTCTCGGGACTTGTGGGGTCACAGTACTCGTCTGTGGGGGTGCTCACTGTGCGAGGAGGACACTGTGAACATCCAGGGAGGCACGGTTGGTAGGAGTGGAATAAAAGGGGGTAAGTGGAAGGTAGGGGATAGGTGGTAAGAGATGGAAATGGACAAGTCGCGTTCGGAAATCTTTGCAATGACGTCATTAACATCGAGGGTCGAGATATAGTGACCGCGACACCATTTGTGAACACTGGGGTACGTTGTGGGAGTGTGGAAGCAAAATGCACACTCTGGTGGGCTGCAGGAGGAGAGAGGGGTTTGAAAGCTGACTTAATGGAGCCTAAGGAGACTCTCAATGTAGGTTCAGGTCTTGGCTTTAGAAACTGGTCAGGCACGGTAGCCATGGGTGTAGAAGTGTATGGAGAATATGTAGGATAAGACATTGCGGCACTGCTGACACGTTGGTGCAGTAACAATGCATCATTGGCCGATAGAAAGTGGTCTATTGCTTTAACCAAGTCTCCATTACATCCTTCCAACACTAATTCCAACACTGCTTGCTTCTGATTCGGGAAAATCCGAGTGAGCATTTCGAGAGGCCTCAACCTACCAGGTCGGAAATCAGTTGGAAAGGTTTCGTTATTGGATTCCAGGTGTCGCCTATGTTTGTCTTGTCGTGGACTTGAACCAAGGTGAAAAGAACGAGGCTTAGAGGTGTGGCTACTGGAAGAGCTACAGGACACATACGTTGTTGAAGTTGTGGAAGTAATGGAGGACGACGTAACCTGACAAGTCGTGTTGGAGGTGCTTAGAGGTGTCTTGCTGTGATCTAAAACGATACAAAGTATTTGTATTTGTATTAATGATACAGATAAAAAAGAAACACGAATTTCAAACATTTTCAGTGGACAACAACCTTCTGAAGGTTTGTGAAACCAACCTGAGCAGAAGGCTTTAGTGTAGACTTTTAAACATCGTTAGTGTTACATACTTCCAGACAGGCCAAAATAAGGCTTTGGTATGGAGTCTGAAACGTTGTCAGAGTCAAATACTCCAAAAAGGCCAGAAGAAGGACTTGGTATGCATTCCAAAAGGCTATCACAGTCAAATACTCATAGAGAAGCCAAAATTAAACTTTTGTATTACATTAGTTCAGATACTATCAGTCAAAATAGTGAAATACCTTAGTATGGGGTCTAAATCAGTCTGTTGCTGTCCACAAATAACGTTTCTGTATTTTATTCACTGCCTGAAAATGTTATAAAACAATACACATGTGATGAAACTATATTACCGATCAGGAGTTGAGGAATTTAAGATTGGGTTATGGGAATATAGTACCACCTTAACTGTGTCTGTCAGATTGGGTTATCATTCCACCTTAACTGTGTCTGTCAGATTGGGTTATAATACCACCTTAACTGTGTCTGTCAGATTGGGTTATAATACCACCTTAACTGTGTCTGTCAGATTGGGTTATAATACCACCTTAACTGTGTCTGTCAGATTGGGTTATAATACCACTTTAACTGTGTCTGTCAGATTGGGTTATAAGACCACTTTAACTGTGTCTGTCAGATTGGGTTATAATACCATCTTAACCGTCTTTATATTGTTCTTCTTTAAATAATATTCTGTATGATCACACATTGTTACGTAGGTCTATAGTACTTAACTATATGGTTGTTTCTAAAGTTATACGTGTAGAAAGACTCAACATCCGGCTAGAAATCAAATCAGTACTTAACTGTATGGTTGCTTCTAAAGGCATACGTGTAGAAAGACTCGACATCCGGCTAGAAATCAAATCAGTACTTAACTATATGGCTGCTTCTAAAGGC